TCATTTTGTAATCGGGCTAGCATGAACCCAGTGTCCTGCCGCCAAGGCTAGAGTCAGTTCCTCCTCCCCCAGGCTGTCCCTGAATCCCGCCATCCTACCTGAGGCTCCTCCGCAATGTCTAGGAATCCTCTATCCAAAGGCAAATACTCCAGGAAGGAAGTTACAGTCGAAGCCACAATCAGCCAAGCCCCTAGTTATCAATTTGACCCAGTAGAAAGTACCAGCTGATTGTCAGCGGGGACCCTCGTTAACTGGTGGGAGAGGTCCCAGGGGGCAGAAACAGGTGGCTAAGAGTGTGGGAGGAAGCATTTCCACAGCAAAGAGCCCTGACTGGCGCCCATGGGGTGAAATGACACCCTATGAGGATGTCAAAGGAGCACCACATGCTGATCAGCTGTGCACGGTTTTGGTCTTAAGCTGGCAGAGCTAGGAGTTCCCGCAGACAGCCCCCATCCGCCAGTGCAGAGCCAGAAGCGGGGCAGCTGCTCTCACGCTCTCCTCGCCACGCCCAGTCCCCATGAAGCCACTTTCATCTGTGCTGCATTCTGGAAACCTGGGTTCAACTCTCCAGCTCAGAAGAGGACCCCCCTTTGCTCCCTCTAGTGGACCAGGCTCCTCGTTCCGGGCTGTCTCCTGGGAAATGCGGCCCCCACTCCAGCCACCGACCCCTCCCATGTGTGCTGTCCTCACTGTCACAGCTGCCCTCATTGGTGTGGCCTATTATGAGCGGCATCTTCCCCTACTCATCTGAGCTCCCCGAGGACAAGAAGAGCGTTCTGCTCAAATCTGTCCCCAGACACAGAAATACCTGTTGAATAGATGGAGTTCTTCTCAGTCTCCACGTTGGGTTTGTTGACCCACCTAGAACGTGAGTGGTCTTTTACTTTCCTGGGGTCAGCCGGGCACGAAGCGGGAGGGTAAAGGAAGAGAAGGAGACGGGAAGGTAGAGACACAAGCGCTGCCCAGATGTTTATTTTCACGCAAGGCACGTCCTGAGATACCTAAATACCATCAGAGGCCACAAATCACAAATGAATGAAACGGGCCAGGGGGAAAGGTCATCGATGGCTCAGCTGAGGTCTGGGAAACAAGCTTCTCAAGGACCTAGGACTCCCCAACAGAGTATATTTGGAAAAGACTTACTTTCTTGGCTCATGTAGGCTGTTCACTAAAGTGTTAAAACTTTTAGCCACAGAGAAAGCTGGAGAAGGCCACATGATCATCTAGAATACAGTAATCTGAGTTACCAACACTAGACATGAAATGTATGTGATTGGCTCTTGCCTACATGTTTTTAAAGAACTAGTGTAATATTTTCACCTAAGGACTCCCAATGCCTGAATGCCTGGACACGCCTGATAAGCCTGAGCAGCCAACCTGGTCACTCTCAATGTGATTTCAGTTCCCCAGCCTTGTCTGCTAGGCTTACACACTGCTGGTCCCCTGGGATGGCAGCCCAGTGGCCACCTCTCCAGGACAGCAGAAGGCACAGGCTCATTCGTCATGCTGCATCCATGGGACCCACAGTTGGAAGTGCTGAATCGTTGGTGGCTAGACAAAGAGGGACTGGGAGTTACTGAGATTTCACAGGCTGGAAGGACACCTCCAGCCCTGTCAGCATGCACAGAACCCTGCCCGGACGGGCACGGGAGTGAGACCCTTACTCCTTCTCTTTAGCTAGGGCTCCTCGCTGCTCTTCCTCTCTGGGTTTTAAAAGGATGGAATGTGACAGTAATGGATGCTGGCCTCCTATCCACACTCTGAGCATCCCATGGGTCAGAACCCTCCAAGGGTCTGAATCAGCAGGTCTGGGTGGTGCCCAGCAATGCGCATTTCTAACAAGCTCCCACGTGATGAGAAAGTGGTCAATGGCTGCAGGTTAAGGCACCACTCTTTGAGAACGGTTTTCTTCATTTCGAGGAGAAAACAAACAAAAAGAGTGTGTTCTAAATCTATTTCTGGACCTAGAAAATTAATTTTTAAGAGACCGATAAATTCACTTTCAGAAAAAAAAAAGGACTCTCTTCTTTTTTTTTTTTTTTTTGGAAATCATGGACCTCTTACTTTCCTCCTTTTCATAGACATGGGTACAAGAAATAATATTTCACATTTCCCCTAACCATAAGAAAAGATCCTGAATGAAATGAATGATAGCAACTGTTTCACTACGAATTGGCCTCAGGGTTGGTGAGCAGCAGAGATGGGTGGGGACTGCAGCAAACTGGAAAACCTGCCACTCATCATCAGCACATTGTTGCCATGCAGGACGGCAGGCTCAGTGTTGCCAGCGCTTCTCTTTTTTTGAAAGAGAAGCTGGAAATCTGAATGTCAAGTGTGAAATCTAATGATTTTAAGATGTTGGCAACTGAAGCAAAATTTTGTAAATGAAACTCCACGGGCAAAAACATAAACAGAACAACAACCAACAAAACTCGAAGTTCTGTATTTGATTTTGCCCACTGGACATCATGGTACAACCTCTGATTTTAGCTGTTGGGATCTGCATAAACAGTCATTTAAGAGGGGGTTCCCTAGTTCTACAGAATTGAGTATCACTACCCTAGACTAGGTATCCATTAGCACATCTGCCCCCTACCATCCATCCTTCTAGCAGGGACCTCTTCCTACCAATACCTGGTGGGTGCAGATGGATGCCAGTTTCCCGGGTATCAGTGCATACTTTCCAAGGGCTGCAAATGTGCTGCAATCCTGCCCCAGAATTGTGCTCCCTGATCCTGGGCCTAACCTTCCTTGGAAAGGAAGCACTAGGTTTCTGGGGCAGAAAGGACTCTGGGAAGTCTGTCCTACTCAGTCTCTGGAAACAGTGGTACCCCATCCACTGGTGAGAAGGTTCGGAAGGGGAAGAGGTGTGGGAAGAAGCCAAAACAGGTTAAGGTATGAGGTAGGCACCACTAGCAGGGGAGGGAGACAGAGAAAGTGGTCGATGGCAAAGCCACACATCCATTGAGTGGGCTGAAAGAAGAGCAGTGATTCGGGAAGAGTGGAGAAAGTGAGTCAGGCACAGTGACAGACACAGGTCCTGAAGGTGAGATGACACAGTAATCATGGTGAGCAGAGAGACTTCCATGGACCAGAAAGCCCCAGCAGCTGGAAGTCAGCACCCTGGGAATGTAGGGCCTGGGAAGGAGGGTTGGATATGTGCCTCATGGGAGCTATAAGGAATGCAAATCTGCAGGGCTCAGGGGCATGGGAGCTTGTGTTGTGGGGCCACTGGAGAGAGTGCAGTGATGCCATCACTGCAAGAATCACAGGTGTCCTTCTCACTCTGCTGTCCTCTGACACACCTCAGGCCCTACGAGAAGAGACGGCCACCTCTCGCTCCCAGACCTCCCGCTTCCCAACTGGCCTGGCTGTTCCTGTCTGTCCTGCACCACGTCAGCGGCTCAAGATGAGGCTGCATCCTCACTCTCCCCCACTGCAGAGACATCCCTTCCCTGTCCAGGTTTGCCAGGTTTTCCTGGGAAAGGAAATCCATAGCCACGTCAAGGAGATGGTCCTGGCTCATCTGGCTACCACTCGAGGTCAACAGTTTCCAAACTTATTTTTGAAAGTCTGACTCACAGGAAAAAGCACATTTGACTTCAAAACCCAATATCCCACACAGCACAAGTTGCATGTGACAATGCTCGTGCTTACCACATGCCATGTACTCTGGTATTTCCCATTGGTTTTTGCACGGGTTGACACTGATTACATGTGCGCTTACTCTTAACCCACAGTTCAGCAAACACCGCTTTACCTAGTCCCAGTCCCTTTCTTAGAATCCCCTTTTTGAACTCCATCTCAATCAGAAATTCCTAGAAAGGATGCCCCCTCATCACACTTTCTGTGACCCGCCCAGGTAGAAGTGAATTTTCCCAATTCTGAATCTCCCAGCCTCCACGGGCCACATACCACTCATGGGCACATAGATCATAATCAAACAAATTCTCTCTTTCCAAGAACAGTGTCCAAGTCTTTGGATCCAACACATTTCAAATATTTGCCGAATGTTTGATGTTGAAGCAGAGGAAACCTGAGTGTGATCTTCTGACAACAATAAAATTATAGTGCATTTCGCACCAAGAAACCTAATCTTCAGAGAACTCCTTTGGTTTGGCCAATGTCCTCTGATGCTGGTGCCACCCTCTCCCAGCTGCAGAACAGAGCTATGGCCTGACATTCATGATGCCTTGTGGTTTGCAAACCAGTCTGTGCTCAGGTGCATCATGCCCCCATCGCAGTCCTCAATAGGTTCACACTGGCCATGACACTGACTCACCAAAATGCTGGGGGAAGATACCCAGCACACCCCCATGCGTGGGGGGAAAAATCGAGCCTCAGAAAAGTTGACAAAATTGTCACACAGGTAGAAAGTGGCTGAACGCACACAAATCCAAGTTTTCTAGATTTGAACTTTCATGCTCTTTCCAGAAGTCTAACTGGCTTCTGGATCGCATTATATAACCCGGTGTTCCTTGCATGCCCCCAGCTTGCAACACCAGAAAGGAATCCCCCCGAGTGTGCCACCCTTTCCGCAGCTCCTTTAACTGATGTGTACACCCACACACTGCCCTTATGACAGAAGCCCACAAACATGGCACACGAGTGAGTCAGAGATCAGCATGGACCTGGTTTCTTATCCCTTTCTCCCTGACTGCCTGTGTGACATTTAGCAGAGCTTGTCACCTCTCTGGACTTCTCCCTTATCTACAGAGCCTGAGGGAGCTGAACCTGCAGATTCCCCCAGAGCCCTTTCCAGGCTTCTCCTGAGAACATTTCCACACCATTTGGAGCCATTTGGTTCCTCCAAGGACTGGCCACATTGGGGATTAAGAAATTGCCCAGTTGGCAGAACCAAACTGTTGCCCAGCAAGAGGCTGTCCAAGGAAGGCTTCTCCTCCTGCAGGACTGGCCGGCCACCTTGCACTCAACCTGCTCCAGTTTGCTTCAAGCATCTGCACCAAAGATAAGCAGCAGTGTCCTGAGTTCCAGCTCACCTTAGCCCTGCAACCCGTCCTCATGCAAATCTGACACGCAGGTCATTTTCTGCCACCGTCTCCACATCCGCTGCTTCCCCGTTGGCATCGGCTAATTCACTGTGCAAAGCAGCATTTATATATAGAAAGTTGCAGCCACGCAGGTTAGCATTAAAATAGAGACTTGACGTTGCCATGGCAACCAAACAAATGATATTCAAAATGAAAGAGAAGTATTCTGCAATCAGAAAAGCATGTCCACAGTCTTCCAGGGCAGCTGGGCCCCTTCCCCCTGAGGGTGGGTGGGACGGCCTCCAGAGAAGTGCCTGGTTTTCGTGAACCTCCTCCTCCCCGTGAAGTCACCCGCTCTGGTTTCAGCTGTGGTCACCACTCCCTGCACACACTCCCTCCTAGAGTCAACTCCTGTTTGCAGTGGACCCACGCCAAGACACTGAGGCAGCGTGATGATCCTGACCAGGTACACCACTTTGCAAAAGCTCTACTCCTCAAGCACCAAGAGGAAGCAGCCTGTGGCCCCTGTGCTAATTACTAAGAATGCTTCTGAAAACAAAAGTGGCCTTCCACCACTGCCTGCCATCAGCAAAGAGTCAAGAGGCCACCAGTTAGCTGAGTGACATTCAGCAGGCTACTTTACCTCTCTGAGCCTCAACTTTAAAATGAGTAGGGGTGAGGGTGAAAGAGCCTAGTGCCTTCCACCTCTGATTCTCTGATGTGCATTTCTTCCCCTTTGCCCACTTCCTTCTTCTATATTCCTCTTGGATACTGCTGAAGTGCAGCACAGAGGCTACTGGTTCCCAGATCTGGCACCCAGGATAACCTCCTGTTGCTCTCGTTTGGCACCACTGCCATCCAGAATGACCACAGCCTCCAAGTCAGAAGGTCTGGATTCCAGTCTTCAAGAAGCCACCAAGAGGCAGGGGGCCTTGGGAAATTCTCTGAGCCTTTCAGGGACTCATTTATATATTTCAAAATCAATTGTGATCTAAAATGACTTAAAAAGACTGATAATACCGAGTGCCATCAAGGATGCAGAACTGGAACTCTCATGCTTTGCTGGTGGGAATGTAAAATGGTACAGCCACATTGGAGAGCAGGCTGGCAGTTTTCCAGAACGTTAACCATACACTTACCATGGCACCCAGCAATCTCACTCCTGGGCATTTAACCAAGAGAAATAAAAACACATCCAGATAGTCTGATACATGAATCTTCATAGCAGCTTTATCCATAATAATCCCAATCTAGAAACAATCCACGAGATCATCACAAGTGAATGAAAGACCATCCATACAATGGAATACTACTTACCAATGAAAAGGAACCAGGGACTGATACATGCAACAACTTGGACCGACCTTGGAGGTATCACATGCTAAAAAGCCAGTCTCAGAAGGTTACACACCGTGAGGCTCCGTTTACGTATCATTCTCCAAAAGACAAAGCTGTAGGGATGGGGAACTCACCGGGGTTGGGTCAGAGGAGAGTGTGCATATAGAGTGGCTGCAGGGAAGCTCTTGGGAAGGGAAATTCTGCATCCTGGCTGAGGGGTGGCTACGTGAATCACACACGTGTGTTAAAATCCATAGAACTGTATGCCAAAAAAAGTCAGTTTCCTTTTATGACAAATGAAAAGATAAAATGCTACTTTCACTTTGGGGGGGAAAAAAATCAGAGATGATGACACTGTCCCCTCACAGGATGATTCAGAACAAGGAGTCCTTATACCTAAACAGTCAAGAATTCAGAACTACTCATTATTAGGATTATTTTTAATTATAAAGATCCCCTTCTGGTTCTAGACCAGTGCGCTCAAAGTGAGGCCCTGGGACCCGCAGCATCAGCATCACCTGGGACTTTGTTAGAAAGTACAAACTCTGGGGCCCTACCCCGGCCCTCCTGAACCAGAACCTCTGGGGAAAGGGCCCAGCAGTCTCTGTTTTAACAAGCCCTCTGGGTGAGAGATTCTAAAGCATGCTCAAATTTGGGAACCACTGGCTTTGATACTTCAACTAGATCCAGCTAAACCAGCCCATCATGGAATGGCCTGGCCCGTGTCCCTTTAACATCGAAAAACCATGGACACAGGCCACACCTGTCTCTATGTCCTACTTGCTCCCTGCCTCCTTTCTTTTCTTCCCTCCTAACTCTGCCTCTAGTCTGCCCCCCATGCATGGCAAGCTGTTGCCCCGCAGGGAGGAGCCAAAGACCACAGCCCCATTTGACCTCCCCCCCGCCCCAGACAGCAGGTGACATGGAGCTGCCTGCTGTTTCAGCCAAGCTACCTGGAACCTAAGTCCCCGTGACCTAAGCTGAGGACCAGAGAGGGGCCCTTCGCTGTGCAAATTCCTCTCCCTTTTGACCCAGCCTGGGCTCCTGGGCCAGGACCAGAACCGACTCTGCTGGCCCTCTTTCCTCTCTCAACTCCTGGAGCAGTGCTCGATTCAAATGCCAACCTCGTGGCAGCCCCACTCAACCGTGAAGAGCCAACTTCCTACTTACCCCAGAACAACAACTTCAAAGCTGCATTGCATGGTTTCTGGCTCCAAAGCCACACAGAGATGATGGATTGCAAGGAAGAAATCAGAACCATATGGATTTCATATTCAGCAAAACAAACAGAATTACAGCATCAGGGTTGGGCCCAAGAAACTGGGGGACTGTGTGTTTGGCCCAGAGCCTAGGCTTGGTGGCCCCCAGCACGGGCTGGGCTCTCCCAGCCTGTCCTCCCCACCCATGACTCCCACAAACAGTCCAGCCTGCTCTCTGCCCCTCCTTGCCCAGGTCTCAGCTAGCCATCCTGCTTTGGCTGACATTTTAGTGTTTTATTGAGTTTTTTTATATTCTCTTTTATGGTGCAGTTGAAGACAGTTCAGCTTCTTTTCTAGCTTTATCCCAAGATGCACAAGCAGCGACAGGAATCCCATGTCGTTAATGACAGCGTGACAGTGCCAGGAGCCTCTGGGGGAGCATGGCAGGGAGTGGCCGCCCTCTCTACACCATGGGCTCCTCCTCCCCGGGGAGAATGTGCCAGGTGTGCCCACTCCCAACCTCGTTCTCATCACAGAACGGAGAAAACGCCTTCCTCTCCCAGTTTCCAGGGAAACTACGGCATTCCATGCAGCATTTCTGAACCAGGGGTGATTTTGCCCCCCCAGGGGACATGTGGCACTGTTGAGAGACATTTGCTAGTTGTCAAAATGGGAGGGGGACAGACTGGATGGGTTTGTAAGTTTCCCTGTGGCTGCTGTAACAAATTAACCACAAACTTAGGAGCTTAAGACAACACAAATTTATTATCTTAGCATTCTGTAGTTTAGAAGTGGGTCCCTCTGGGCTAAAACCAAAGTGTCGGCAGGGCTGCATTCCTCCAGGGGGCCCTAGGGACGAATCTGTTTCCACATCTTTTCCAGCTTCTGGAGGCCACCCACACTCCTTGGCTTGTGGCCCCTTCCTCCATCTTCAAAGCCAGCCACGGCAGGTCAGGTCCCCTTCACACCGCCATCTCCCTCGTCCTGTCTCCTCTGTTTCCCTCCTCCACTCATACGAATGCTTGGGGTTATATCGGGGCCATCTGAATAATCCAGGATAATTTCCTCATCTCAAGGTCAACTTGTTTGCAATCTTAATTTGATCTGCAGCCTTAATTCCCTCTTGCATGAAACCTGACATACTTACAGGTTCCAGGGTTAGGACACTGACGTCTTTGCTGGGAAGGTCATTATGGTGTCTACCACAGTGGCTACTGGCATCTAGTGCATAGCATCCAGGGATGCTCCTAAGCATCCTACAATGCACAGGAAGACTGCCCACAACAAAGAATTACTCAGCTAAAAATGTACACAGTGCCAAGGTTGAGAAACCCTGGTACAGCCTAACCCTGACCAAGCCTTAGCTGGTTCCTGGTGACTCTGACTGAAGTCCATTTCTGCACAGAAGTCAACCTTAGGCCTTTTAGAGATCACAGGAAAGCTCTGATCCACAATGAAAAAGAAATGTTTACCATCCCATTAAGTATTTCATAGTAGATTCTATAACTGATCAGGATATCATTTGATACTCAAATGATTCTCTACTGATGCACATAAAATATAAGCAAAGTTTAAAAACACATAAAATGCATCTTGTCTATAGAAGCCACATGTGAACAGCAGACATAGGTCACTTAAATCTCTTTATGTGAATAACTTTAAATAACACAGCTAGTTCTGCTTTGTTTGTGGGTTGCTCTTTGGTCTCACAAATCCCTGAAAAAGCAAAGCCAGAGCTGCTCACACCCCATTCCATCTCTTCCCTTTCTTCTCTCCCTCAGTAGTGCTGAGCCACCATTACTGATGCTAATTCCTAATGACCCTGCAGATCTCAGTCACTTCCCCAAATGCCCTCTTGCCCCCCATGATCCTGCGGGTAACCGCGGAGTCCTGTGCTCTGTGGGTGAGGCCTGCAGTGGGACAGCCTAGGGAAGGCAGGGAGTTCTGGAGACCCTGTTAGCTCTGTGCACACAGAAAGGATGTTCCCCACAGCAAAGGCAACCTCTGCCCCCGCTCTGTGGTCCCCCTAGCTGGCTGGGTTTCCCAGAGTGGGTAAGAAGGGACATCAAAAGGTGACTCTGGTGGTTTCACAGGGTTTCCTTAAAAGGAACAGGCAGGCAGGACCTGCTAATTCCACCTGTCATTCTGACAAAAGGAGTCCCTGCTCTGTCCCACCTCCATCGAAACGATGGACAGGGGCGCAGTGGCACCTGCTGTGCGTACGTGTGCACTCATAAACATGGCCCTGTGCCCTGCACCCCAGGAGAGCCCCTTCTCTCTGCTTGGTGCAGCAAAGCACTTACTGAACTTCTCTGTTGCAATTACCCACCATTTTTGGCCAAAGCCACTGTCTTTGCTCCAAAGCATGGAAGTGATGGCCCTAGAAAGCCCTGACACTATGTCTGAGCTGCTTTGGGAATGGGGACAGCCCGCATAGAGAGTGTCTGCTACCCATGACACTATGCATTTGTTCGTTCGGCCAACAAATGTTTGCTGCCTGTCCACTTTGTGCCAGACGCCCTTCTAGACCCTGATATCAAGTAGAGCTTTGACTC